CGGGAAAGAGCAATGGAGCTCATTTCCTACTAGGGCTGCCTATGGGAGAGGGGACAGAGAGAACCGAGGGGAGCCAACAGTTTCCTTCTGAATCTGTCCTCCCATGAAAAATACCAGGTGATGATTTATCCGTAAGGCCCAGTCTTTTATTCCATCGGTTTTAGGAATTTTGAATTTCACATGCCAGCAAAATTATTTCAGAAACTGAAAAAGAAAATTCCAGGTTAGGAGAATAATGGTGGCTGATTCTTAATATCCACCATGTCCTCCTAAATGAAATTATTAATTTCAACAAGGAGAGTAAATTAAATCTTAGATGACTGGTGCCTTCAGGATTAGGAGACAACCTTCATATCACCTGTAAGCGGAGAAGAAAAATCCCAACAGAGCTCACACTTCTGTCCTACTGCTGGTGAGGCTGGGAGTGAGGAGAGCAAGTGCAGACAAGTTTAAGAGATTCTGTGCTAAGGAGTAGAAAAGGAACAGAGGACATAGAAAAAGGAAACTTAAGTCACCCCTAGAAATAGAAAGTGCAACAGCAAAAGCCAAGATTCTGAAATGGGTGGTTATTTGATAGTTGATAGAACAAGTTACATGCAAGAGGCAGGACTGGAAGTGGTTGCTTTGAAGAAGCACTGTACTCAGAAAAGAATGAGACAGTAGGAGGAAAGAAAACAAGAAAAGAAAAATAAGCATTTGATGGTAATAAAAAAGAGACAGGGCACATTGAGCTTTCTTTCTCCAACAACAACAGAATTCATTTCTACAGCTGAAAATCAAATACCCCAAGGAGCTAAATAAAACTATACCAGCACACCCCAACTAAATAAAATATCCACAAGTAAACATACAGCATATGAAAAAAGTAGCCTAAATCAGAAGTACTAATAAAGAGAAGCACAAAAATAGGAAGAAATGAGAGTTGGTTGAATGAAGGGAAAAAAAATTATACCAAAAATCAAGATTAAATTCAAAAGTGCTTGAGAAAGTAGACTTGGATTAAAATTAATAGTCTTGAAGAAAAGCAGGAAAAAAAAACAAACCAAGAGAAGTGAAAATGAAATAAAGCAAGAAGTTTTCAGAGAAAGTGGTTAAAATGGAAGATAGGCAAAGTAGGCTCAACAATGGAACAGAAGTAATATTTAAAACTATAATTAATGAAAACTTTTCAGACATAAAGGAAGACCTCAATCTACAAATAGAAAGGGCCCATCAAGTGCCAGGAAAATCAAGTTGGAATGATTAATTCTGATACATCCTATATAATAAAAGGCTATTATGCAAGTCGACCCAACACCGTAACGACCGGTCACTATGACACACAAGCTCAATGCAGGAGCTGCCCCCTGGTGGTCAGTGTGCTCCCACAGGGGGAGCGCCGCTCAGCCAGAAGCTGGGCTCATGGCTGGTGAGCGCAGTGGTGGTGGCGGGAGCCTCTCCCGCCTCCGCGGCAGTGCTAAGGATGTCCCCAGGGGGAGTGGGCCTAAGTCGTCAGTCAGACATCCCCCGATGGCTCCCGGACTGCAAGAGGGCGCAGCAGGGCTGAGGGACCCCCCGCCCCCTGAGTGTACGAATTTCATGCATCTGGACTCTGAAAATTAATAAATCTTCAAGGTTTCCAGGCAAAAAGATAAAATAATGTAAAGGCAAGAGAATTAGATGACATTGGACTGCTCAAAACAATATACTGTATAAAGCAAGGCAACAGTAAAGCTACATTTTCATAAAACTTAAGAAAATGTGAACCAAGCATGATATATACAACCAATATATGCTTTAACTATCAAGACTACAGAAAATTATTTTGAACATACAAGAATTCAGAATATTACATAAATGTGTAGTATAAAAGCTACTAGAGGATGAGTTTCATCCAACCTAGATGATTGAGATAACTTAGGCAAAAGTAGTTATCATGAGCAATTCATACATTTAATTGTCAAGTTTAGACCAAAATAATGGTGGGACCAGAGACAGAATGAGTATGTGTGAGTATTCTATGTTTTGATAGGTAGAAAAATGCAAATAAAATGACAGATGGGAGAGAAAAAGGGAAATGTAGAAAAAAAACACACTGACTCTCATTTAGGTAGTAGGTGAGAGTTCAAGGGTATGATTTAATCTGGCATACCAGATAGCACAAGTTTAAGAAAAAAAGGGATTAAAAACCCTATAAAATATTAATCCAAAGCCACAAGTTTAAAAATACAGACTTTCTTAAATACAAAAAGAAATTTTAAAAAAAACCAACAACACAACAAAGTGCACACAACAAAATGAAAAAAAAATACACAGAGAAATTATAACAAATAATATAATAGATTTAAGCCCAAACATAATAGTCATCTCAATAAATGTGAATGGGTTTAACTCAAGGTCAAAAGACAAACTTCAAAAAGCATTAAACTAGACAATAAAGGACACTTTATAATGTTAAAATCCACATTTCACATTGAAGATGTAACAGGTATGAATATATATACAACAAATAACACAGCTGCCACCTATATAAATACTACAAAAGGAAAGGAGAAACAGAAAACACACTACTAATAGACACTTTCACAAACAGTACAGCACAGGGCCAGTGAACAGCAAAAAAAAAAAAAAAAAAAGTAAGGATATATGTTCTGGATTTATATTGAATACTACATCTAATAATAGAGAATATATAATCTTCTCATGTAGGCCTGAAACATTTACACGGATATGCAAAAATCTGACCATATATTAGGGCACATAGAATATATCAGCAGGCACTATAAAGTTATTACAAACTACTTGATAAATATCTATCTATATAAAAGCCTAAGTGACCGTTATGACCGAATGACCAGTCAACCAGTCACTATGATGCACAATGACCACAAGGGGGCAGATGCTCAATGCAGGAGCTTCCCCCTTGGTGGTCAGTGCACTCCCACAGCCAACCTCCTATGGCAGGCCAACCTCCCGTGGTTCCTCCCCACAGCCGGCTGGCCCTGATTGGCCCCAATCTGGGCCGGCTAGCAACCTCTCGTGGTCCCTCCCCCTGGCTGGCCAGCCCCAATTGGTACCTCCTCCCCGCCTCCAGCTGGCCAGCCCCAACAGGGACTGGCAAGATGGCCCCGATTGGCCCCGATCGCCGGCCAGGCCAAGGGACCCCACCTGTGCAAGAATTCGTGCACCGGGCCTCTAGTATCTAATAAAACTACACAAGCAAATGTCCTTTGACTCAGTAATCCCACTTCTAGGAAATCTACTCTGAAGGTATAGCTTAAAACAAAAACGAATATGTAAGATCATTCATTGTAATAGTATTTGTAATTTTACAAAGTACTGAACACCACCTAAATGCCCGAGCATAGCGGATTGATAGGATAAAATATGGTACCTACATGCCATGAACATTGAGCATCTACGAAAGAAAAAAGAGAGAAAGATCTCTATGAACTTACATGGAGTGATTGATTACTGGAGATGTTTAGTGAAAATGCAAAGTCCATCAGAGCATGTATGTGAAGCAGCTAATAAGCACATGAAAAGGTGCTCAACTTCATTTACCATTAGGGAAATGAAAATTTTAACAATGATACCACTTTGTATCTACAAGAATGTCTATAAAAATATTGGTGAGCGTGTGGAGAAATAAGAATCCGCATACATTGCTAGTGGGAATATAAATTGGTAGAGCTACTTGGAAATCAGTTTGACAGTTAAATATGATGTTCTTTATAGATACAGAGGCAAAGAAACATCGGACAGACTGTCAAACTAAAGCGGGAAGACTGGAGAGGGTTGCGGAGGGGTGGGGGAAAGAGATCAACCGAAGGACTTGTATGCATGTATATAAGCATAACCAATGGACACAAGACACTGGGGGTGAGGGGGCATGTGCCAGGGGGTAGGGGAAGCTGGGGGAAGGTCAATAGGGAAAAAAAGGAGACAAATGTACTACTATTTGTAATGCTTTAAACAATAAAATAAAATTTTTAAAAAAGTTAAATATGAATTTATCATACAATCCAACAATTCCACTCAAAAGAAATGAAAACCATGTCCACATAACAACTTGCAGGTGAATGTTCATTGCAGCATGATGCATCATAGTCCAAAAGTAAACAACCCAAATGTCCATCAGCTTTTACATGGATAACAAAACATGCATAATTCAAATGGAATACTATTCAGCATACTGAAATGCTGATATACGCAATGACATGGATGGACTCTGTGAACACATTATACTTAAAAGAAGCCAGATTCAAAAGATATCACTATATTTCTATGAAATGCCCAGAAAAGAAAAATCTGTTAACAGAAACTAGCTACTGGTTGCCTGGAACTGGGGAGGACCAGGGTGAGGTGGGAACAAGGTTTAACTGTAACCAGGCATGAGGAATTCTGTTGGGATTTTGAAAATGTGTCTGAAGCTGGGTTGTTGTAGTCAGTGCACAATTCTTAAAATGGGTGAATTTTGTGGCATTGAATTTTACCTCAATATTTTTTTAAAGGACATAGATGTGAATTTCACAGGATGTAAATTACACATCAATTAAAAATTTTCAAGAGCATGTATATAAAATGACCAACCCTCCCTATTTGTTTAACTTGCCCAGTTTTTAGCTTTAACGTAAAGTTCTATATCCCAGGAAAAGTTCTGTCCTAGGCAAACCAAGATTGGTCTCCCTGTATGTATGCTACCTTTTGTGTAAGAAAGAGGGGGAATAAGAAAACACATTTACTACTTTTCTTCATAAAACGAAACACCGGGGAAAAAACAGTGAAGTTGGATACCTACAAGGTTGGGGGTGGGGGAGATGGGGCTGAAGAGATATGAATGACACTTCTCTCAGTATAACTTTTGGTAGTTGTGACTTTTGGAGGCATGTTAATGTTTTATATTTAAAAAATAAAATTAAACCAAGGACGGGGGCGGAGGGCAGACCTTATACTTGGAAGAAAACGGAAACAAATGAACCCAATTTATTTCAAATAAGTAACACAGTGAAAGAAAAAAAAAGAATGAATCAAAGTAATTTATGAACACAATGTAATTATATATCTTTGGTCTGGAGCAGGGTACAGATAGGGAGAGGATACAGACAATCTTGCAGGCTTTTAAGTGTGTTTTTATACATTCTATGGGCAAAAGCAAGGAAAACTATTTTAGCTGTATTATCGGATTGAACAAGTGAATCAACTGATGGACTTTTTAAAGAGCCAGGATTCTGAGGAAAAAGGAACAGAGAAATATGAAATGGGGAAAACAAGAAAGAACCCTATGAGGATGGATGGAATTGGAGGTACAGTGAACGCATGATTTCTAAATCAAATGTGGATATGAGCACATGTAAAATGTATGTGTACATGTACATTTCCTATTCTGCTGAACAGGCCTAGCAGCAGGAAAACACTTAGTAAAGGTGAACATACCCAGCAGCCAGGGTTCCTTGGAAAAACTGCCGATTCTAGAGCCTGGAATATCTTTTATTTACGATGGTGTGGGGGGGAAAAAAAAGATAGCAGATGCCACAAGGAATTCGGACTCAGAAGCTCCTATTGGCCAAATCTAAGACAATTAAGACAAAGTAAGAAATGAAATGCAAGTCCTGGAAAAAACAGAAAATCAGGAGTCCAAAACAATAGTTAATATAAACGTTCACCTGGATAGTTATGAAGAAGAAAGGAGTGCTCCTGCTTACAGCAGAATGCTAACTGGTACAGGAGGAAGAAATGCTATAATTAGAAAATCACCATTTTGCAACTATCAAAATAAAGACGGAATAAGCAAGAAACATCAATGGATGTTAAATCCTGGGGGGAAATGTTAGCATGGATTTAAAGAGTCTCCCACAGATTGTGATACCTGATGACAGCATCACCAATGTGGTATCCTAAGAATGCACAATTTGAATCTAATGAGGAAACCCAAAATGAAGAACATACTATTATAAAAGGAGGATAGAGAACGAAGACTGTATTCTTCGGAAACATGTCACAGCTGTAAAAGACAAAGGGGACCATGGAAATTATCTAAAGTCAAGGAGATTTCAGGGAGGGTAAATAAGCAAATGTTAAAATAAAAATGGTAAAATTTCAGTAATAGTTGAATCTGGGTAAAAGATGTATAGATGTTCTTTGTACTATTCTTATTTTTGCCAATTTTCTGCAAATTTAAAATCATTTCCAGGTGGAGGTAGAAGAGGGCTTAGAGGGGATAAATGGTGATGGAAAAAATAAAATTATATATATATACATACACACACACACATATATACTTAAAAAATAAAGTCATTTCCATAAAAAGTTAAAAAAAAAGAAGGGATTGATATTGGGTTGCCAATCTCATGCTTTGCCTGATAAGGTTATTAAAATGCAATCATTAAAAAAAAAAAACAACCCTACCATCTACGATTATATCATTTTCTTTCAAGAAAGTGTGAGGGGACATTTTGAACATCCAAAAAATAGCCATTATCACCAAAGAATGACCCTTCAAAACAAAATTTAGATTTATAAAAAAGACTTATCCTAGTTTTTTCCACTTCCATGTGGATCAAGGAGAGCTTGTCAGCTTTGTGTTACGGATTCAATATTCTAAACAAGGTCCATTTTTGCCAATGGATGAAGTACAGTTTGGTGAAAAGAGCATGGAGTCTGGAGATAAACACTGAATTCAAGCCCTGGCTCCAGCTGGTACCAGCTCCTATAACTTAAACTTTCTTTAGTTTCCTCAACTATGAGGCAGACAAATAAATCACAGGACTATTAAGAGAATTAATGTACTTAGAATAGTGCTTCCCACAGAGAAGGCGCTCAATGTCTCCTTGTCTTCCTTTCCTTGGGAGCCACTTTTCTGTTCTCTGGAAAAGTATCTGACTAGGACCACATTGGCCTTTCCCCACCAAGATTACGTAAGAAACTGAACTATCCCGAGAATAAGTCTCCTTTCTGGAGGTAAGTTTCATGAAAAACAAAGACGGAGATATTGGACAGTGGAAAAAAAGATAGAAGAAGGCTTATGAAAACAGATGAGCTGTGGCATGGTAGCTAATTTGTTCTGTTAAGGAGGTAAAGACAACAGGAGGAAGTACTGGTTTATGTTAGAAAAGTCTGATAAAAAAATTACATGTTATTTTCATATACTCATATCTATTTTGCAAATGACCACCCATCTACTTCTAAGAGTAAATAATAGTTTTATGTAAAAAATAAATAGTATTAAGATAACCAATTCTATTCTTTTTACTGGCTTGGAAGAAAAAAAAACAACATCAATTCAATAAAATGTCCATAAATTATGAGATTTCATCCAGTAGTCTGTTGTTTTGCTTCTTTCCACATATTTTCTGTTTACATCTAACAGGACAATTTATTCCTTTTCTATTGCCAATGATAGCAGTTCTTTTAAAATCTTTTTGAAAAAGAAGAAAAATTTAAAAAGTAACTAAATTCATTATAGCAAAAAAATTGTATTGCCAACAGAAATGTAGTTTAACATTTAAAATCTTTATAAAAAATAAACAAATTCTAATTTTTCCTTTATTTCATAACTGAAAAATGAAAATGCTTATTTACATGAATATTTGATACATAATTTCCTTAATACTTCTCTATGGTGAAATAAAACTATATATATATATTTAAAGAGAGTAAATAATATGAACACTCATGACAATTTCAAACCAATGAGCATTGGTATATCTTCAAATTACTATTAGTTGTGGCTATTCTTGGGGAAAAGGCGCAAAGCTTATTAGGGCCTAGCACACAAGAAATACTTAATTTTACATTGTCAGAGTTCAAAAAGTGGCATCATAACGTGAAAACACTATAAATTGACATCTCACTCATATGTCTCTTAAAACAGGCTGGAAAAATAGTCAGTACCCTATATAAATAAAAAAATATTTCCATTGACTACTTTTTGCCCAGAGTGATTAAGGACAAAAAAATAAAAATTCTTGCTGCTTAATTATCTGATAAACTGCTGACCAAGCTCCCATTAAAAGTTCTTTAGACATTAACCCAAGTAATCTTGGTCTTATGGTTATATATTTATATTACATATATATATCAACTTTTTCAAGTAAAGAAATGTTTAACAGATGTAAACTATTTATTGAATATTTGCCACCAAATATTGTTAAATACATTATCTTGCAGCATATCGCTTTCAAGTTAAAATGTCAGAAACAAACACCAATATTTACAATTCTTTTAAGGAATGTTATATAATGACACATTAAGGCGTAAATTCTTTTGGCTTATAATTCTTAAAAGAATGATAATAGCAAAAGTGATGCAAAATCTTCAGTGTGAGATTATGATTAAGCTACATTTTACAAAAATATGGTGTAAGATGGCAATAATCCCATTCAACATCCTGGATTAGATCCCTTCAGGAGGGACTGATAATTTATACAGTCAAACTTTAAAATTTACAGATAAAGGCAGTTCAATACTGCCACTGAGAAGTACATCTCTTAACATATACAACTTTCAGGCCACAGTTTTGAAGGTCTGAAGTATCAAGTTGGTTTGATGAATTAGTCGGTTGGCACTCATGAACACATTTATTGCCCTGTTTGAAGAAAAAAAAAAAAGAACAAGCATTAATTTTATCCAAAAATTCATTCTTTAAAAATATTTATACTAATTCCACCCAATAACAGTAGCAATGAAATCAATTTAGAAAAAAAAAGGGCAAGAAAGTACGGAGTATCATAAATTTTATTCCAGATTGGAATTGAATGGAACTCAATCATTTGAAACTATCTAGGAATTACTGCCCCCTAGTGGTTCTGGTTGGTAATTAGGTGTTGGTGGGCTGCTAATGATGGCTTCTGAACCACCAGGGTTCATCTATAAGTCGAACAAATAACTGATTCAAATGTAGTTTCCCGCTGTGGTTCATAGAAGTTACCAAATTAAAATCTGCATTAAGTATTACACTCAGTCTCAAAATCTATATGGCAATGGGCATTATAAATACTTAAGAAAAACCTAATTACTTTCAAATATGATTCACCCCAATCTCTCATACCTTCTTTCAAAAAAACAAATCTGAGAATTCTAAACTGCTTTTAGAATTAATCTACTTTTAAAACAAAATAATCATGCAGTTTCAATATTTTGGAGCTGACAACATGTATGTTCTTAAAAATATGTTGTGCTGTACCACATTTCCTATCAACCCATCCTCATGCAACTAGAGGACAGAGCTGATGCCCTTGTCCCTTTATCAGGCTTTTAATTGCATAGCTAAAGATTTTATCTTCATCTTAGACATTTATCAAAAAAGAGGGACCCCAACGAACTAGTTGAGTCAATGCAAATTCATCCCTCTATTGAAAGATGGATCAAAGATCAGGCTGTTGTAATAACTTTCAGTTTGAGGAAACAGGTACAAACTAATGGCACATTATTCATACACAACTAATTGTAATTTAAAGAAGCTGCTGAATGGAGAAAAAGTAGTGGCAGGAAGCCTAAATAATCTATATGCCTGTTTGAACTGTTAAAAAATTGAAAGTAAATCATTTCAGATTAATGAAAATTAGGCTCTAAATGAATTTCTATCTTTCAACGTGCTTTTTCCGTGACAGTTCTTAATTAGTTAGAAGCAGAAATAATGATCCCAACATGTAAATTATTCTTTTAATGTGTTTTCTGGTTATTTGGGCTTAGCAGAGATGAAGGAAAAACAGATGCAAGTTTATTTTCAGAACACACCTGCCAGCTTATTAAACTAAATCATGAAGGGGCATTTCCCTGAGACAACTTGAAGAGTAATATGAACAACAAAAAAAACACTAATACTTTAGCTCAGTATTTTAAATTCATAATATAAATGTAAATATTTTGACCTATTTGAACTATATAGTTTTAAAAATCAAGACCATTCTAATATACTATCTTATTATTTTTAAATTTTATTACAATAATATTCAATAATTTGGCACAGATATAGGGATTTTAAAACTTCTATAGGATAGCATGGTAGGTCATGCCAACTATAGCTGAAGTAGTCACTATTTTTCTAATTTTAAACACTGTTAGAAAATGGTTTTGTCAACAAAATTTTCTGAATTCTACCTGATACAAAAATTCTCTATCAGGTTTAATGCCACAGAACACATGGCCTCTGCATCACCTATACCTTTTATGTACATATCTATAGGTAAAAACACATAAAATATTTGGTTTTCTGGGGTGTTTAACAGCCAATTGTATATAAATTGAAAAATAACAAGCCATTTACCTTTTCAGTATACTTCCTGTGAAAGTGTCTCTCCTGCCAGGACAATGAATCACAACCTTTGCAGCACTGTGAAGTCACCTAGTACACTTGTATACAACTCCTAAATCCTGGTCCCACTCTAAGCCAACTGAGTCAGAATCTCTGAAGGTGGGTGGAGCCAAGGCACTAGGATTTTTAAAAACTGAACTCAGGGGAATCTAATGTGCAAACAGGACTAAGAACCATTGTTTTAACTTTAGTGCAGCAGCTCTCAACAGACCTAACATATCACTATCATCTGGGAACAACTTAGAAATAAATGCAAATTCTTGGATCCATCCTAGACAATGAGAAATTTGGGGGTGGAACCCAAAAGCGATTTGTGCTTTAACAAGCCTCCAGGGGATTCTGGTGCTACTAAAAATGTTGGGCCAAGAAGCCAAATCTCACCTTGTTTCTGTATGGAATGCAGGCTAAGAATTACGTTTATGTTTTTAAAAATGGTAAAATTAAGAAAAAATCAAAATAATATGTGATGAGTGACTGCAAATTTCAGTGTCTATAAATAAAGTTTTATTAGAACATGGCTATAATGCCCACTTATTTCCATGGCTGCCTTTGCACTACAACAGCACAGGTGAGGTGGGCAATTGCAAAGAGCTCACCAAGTGAAAATATTTGTTATCTGGCCCCTTTCAGAAAAAGGTCTGCTCCTGTCTTAGACTGGTATGGCTGGATTATCACCATTCACTTTTTATTTTTAACAGTTAGTAGCTGGTAGACCTTTTTCTGACCTTAGCACCACAGTAAAAAGACTTTAATTTATATGGTTTTAGTATAATACAAACCATATGATTTAATTTTAAAAGAGAAGGATGATAAGTAAAAGTACTTACTTGCCATCTTTAAAATAGGTTTTCAGAGTATCACTGAAACTTTTGGAGTACTTTACAAATTCTTTCTTTTGGTGTTCAAGTGCCTACAGACATCAAAAACAATTAAGAAAAAAATGCTAAATAAGAAAAGAGAAATGACACAAAAGCCAAAGTCAAAGATAGGAGGTTATTCCCAGTAATCAAACCATCTTAGTATTTAATTCCATAAAATAACTAGGTGTAAACTAACATCTAGGATGGCTTCTAGTAAACTTACCCTGCGGTTCTGGTATTGATATTTCTTGAAGACATTATTCACTGTATCAAGAAGTTCTTTTATTGCACTAGCAATATCCCTGTGAGTTAAGAAAAAAAGAATCTTCTTAAAATCAGTTACATTTGAAAGAAGTTTGTATATATATTTTTAAAGAATCTTTATTGTTGAAAGCATTACATGTGTCCCTTTTTTTCCTGTATATGTCTTTTTAAGAATTACTAACCACACTGTTAATTACCATACTAACACTATGTCAAGAGCAAACATCTGACTGGCTGGTTGAGTGGGGGTTTTAGCATGTACCCTTCTGTGATCCTGACTTCTGCACTGCTGACTACACATTCCACATCAACTTTCCCAAATTATTAACATTTCTTTCAGTATTACTGACTTAAATTCAAAAGAATATGCCTCTGCCTCTCATCTTTTCCAGTTATAATTTTTCCTTTCTTTAATATAGTTGACTTTAAGTTACCACATACTGTTTTTCTATCTCATGAACAATTATATGAAATTTTGCTATTACATGTAACTCATTTCTATATTTACCAACACTCCCAGTTACATACCTAATAATTTGTTTTGAAATATTTCCTCCTCAGACATAGCTCTTCTCTTGAAACATTTACCTCTTTCTAAGAACCACGTATCCGCCCCTTCCAACCTATATTTATGTATTTAAAGTATACTTAAATTTCCGGGAGAGACAATATCAGATTATTTTTCTACCTTAACCTTTCCAGCAATCATCCTTCAGGTGTCCACCAAAGGCTGTATACACACTTTAAATGCTGATAACTCACTTAATTTTCACTCCTTTTCAAGTTTAACTAATTTGAAATAATGGGTGAAGCCAGATGAAGCTTTGACAAAGAAAATTTATCCATTAGACTATTTTATGGGGATACATAAAAGATGAAGTTTACTGTCCAAAACTGGCAACAGTTGACAAACTGAGGGCACACAAATACCAAACAAAATGATTCTTGATGTTTGCGATTCCATTGCTTCACGTTATCAGCAGTGCTTGGACCAGAATGGTCATCAGTTTGAAAACGGTGTTGACAAAAAAAAACAAACAAAAAAAAACTAATCATTTCTATAGATTCTTTTAAATTTTGAAAATGAACTTTATGTTAATAAACACTGACTTTATAATCATTCAAAGTGTGTATACATTTTTAGGGGAGACCCTATCTATGCATCAATATCTTCCTCCCCTTAAGAGAAGAAATCTTTTTTTGACTATCCTTCCTATTCATGTACCGTTTTTTTCTGAACTCTTCCTGTATTTTATATCTATGCTCTTTTCATTCTTTTCATATTCTAGCTTAAAGCAATCTTTCTTGGTCAAACTGAACTTAACATAATTCTGCATTTATAAGTAGTCTCATATTCTCTAAGGCAAGCCTTCTCTTCTTCACATCCATTCTCTTTGCTGTTCAAATGCAATCCAAGTGTAAAGATATGAATTAGTAAGATACACATCCAGACTATCCCAAATATAACTTTATTATTGACTTTTTAATCACAAATGTCAGATTTCAGGTATTTCACACCTATAACAATCTTTCTGCTTTGCTATTAAAGAAAAAAGAAGGTTCAGTGTGCAGATTGTCCAGCTTTCTGGACATGTGTGTGTTTCACAGCATATTTCTAGTAAATCAGCATGTGGAAATTCTAAAAGTTGTAGATAGGATTTTGGAATGAAGAAATATATTTTCGCCTATTCTAAAGTAGTAATGGCATTTCAATAAATACTTACTTATTACATCCTGATGTCAAACATCAGCCTTAGGCTGAAACATTAAAACATTACATGTTCAAATAAAACAAAGAATTTTACATATAAATGACATTTGTGGACTCGTGTTTTTGCCTCTAGTTTAGTAAAAACAGTTTTAAGTTATATAACTGTTATTTCATTTGTAGTTTTAAGCAAGTAGAATCCTGCTGTATTGCTGTGATGGCTGTAAGTCTACCTATGCTTAATAAAACGGAGTCACATGACCATCCTATTATGTGAGAAAAATTACAATTTCCACAAGTAAAAAATGTCAAATCTCTGCATATGGATGATTCTTTAAATTCACAATGAACCTATTTAAAACAAAATATAATGCAGCAGATTACAGTGATCAGAGAGCTGTTTACACACAGCCGTACTTTGTGGTATACTTTAAAATTTTACTAAAAAGAATAAAAATGTACATTCAGTGCTAATCAACGTGAACATATGTTCCATGTACAATGATAATAGCTGCATTCCATAGGTCAAAAGAGCAGTTCTGAAATTGGCAGCTCCCTCCCTCACCTAAGAGAAAAAAAAATGGCAGGGGCAGAGAAGGGAAGGGTGGGTTTAGTGAACAGTACTCCATCCTACTAATAAATATTGGGAATCTGTGCTTTAAAAGAAAAAAAAAAAAAAAAGGTCCCCAGGTGATTCTGCTGATAAACCTGGTTTGGAAGCCACTGTGTAGGAACTCAGAACCTAGAGCTAAGGTTTGATCTATTATTCACCACAGCACTTTATAGAGAACTAGGCTGTTTATCCTTAGGCCTGGCCTTCTCTAAAACAACCTACGCCATTTATGTCAAATATTATGTCATCTGTATGTTCACAGAACATTTTCTTTTATGGAACCAAGGAAGCTAAATTATATTAGCAAATACCTGAGGGTTTGGTTCCAAGAAGAGAAAGTTCCCGCAGGCCCCTCCCTCCCTCTCTCTCTCTCTCTCTCTCTCTCTCTCTCTCTCTCTCTCACACACACACACACACACACACACACACACACACACACACACAACATACAATACTTTAATTAAAGAACTAGGGAAAACTTGAGGGTAAAAGAACTATAGTGTAATTATATGCTGAGTTAATGGTTTCTATGATAAGGGACACAGGAGTATTTGCAGCTATTAAGAGGGGCAACTTTGGGGAAACATAATACTGAAAGAGAGGACAACAGGCATCAGATGAAATATAAACATACATCCTATCAAAAAATTGCATAGAATAACAGAGTTTCTAATCCCATCACCCTAATTTGTGTATGTTTATGCAAACACTCTAAAGGAAGGAAATTCCTATGCTGTATGTTTGCTCTAGACAGGTCAGCTCTGGAAAAGCTAATTTGAAGCTATCATGGAAACCAAACCCTGGCGAATATTTTGCCTATGAATATGCAAATGCAGATTATAATGAGTAAATAGATAAATGCATAGCGTTCTGGTCTATTAAATCACAAGTCTCTACTAGTCATCCATTAATTGGAATGTGTCAGACTTTTAAAAGAATCCCATGAATTAATTTTATAAAATATTTGCATAAGCTCAAATGTAATCAAACAGAAACATTCATTAATCAAAAGTACTTTAAAATATTTGTTTGCTGGATCATTTTTCCTAATCAACTCCATAGAGAAAAATTGAAATAAACAAACCTTACTTCACAATGCCAGAATGTGCTGTCGGTAGATGCTATTTCTTTCCATTCTCACAACTATTACCCTCATCTTCACAGGCAGAAACTAGAAGTATAGAATCTAAGCACCTTATCCAAGGTCACAAAGCTAAATATTGAAGTGGAGATTCAAACCTAATTCTGCTAACACATACAAAATTATCTGGATATTTATTAGCTGACAGGATGTTCTTTCTACTCTGGTATAACCTATAACATGTACAGTACTTAGTATAGTAGGTATTTTATACATACTTACTGAAAAATACTGCTAAAATAAATGAATAAAGAGCATAACTACCTTAAATATGAGAAAGTAAAATATTTGAAAAGAAAGATAATAAGTGCACAATATGTGTGGCCTAAAGGATAAACCATTTTCATGTTGCTAAAACTTTTAACCACCAATTTGTTAAACAATGTAACAGTGGTAATAACATATCAAAATCTTTCTCTCTATCAGATCAGTAATACAAATAATTGCAGCTTTAGCTATGTATGCTAATTCATACATTGTTGATTAGTCTCAGAAATAAAAACATATTATCAACAAACATTCCATGGCAAATTATCCCTAAAACGTTTAAAATATAAATTTTAATTGCCAATAGTATTAATTCAGTTGTGCAGAGTACTCTCCAGAAATGAAATATTACTATTGTTCCGTAAATGAGAGACAAGACCCCTAATTCAGTCTCTGTCAATGACTATGGACAAGAGTCTTGGGCTCTTGATCTCAACATCCTTACGATTAAAATGCAGCTGCTAATAAAGTGGTTTTCAAACTGTATCTCTCTAGGGCCAGACTGGGTTTAACAGAGATGCTTCAGGGATTCCACAGGGGGAGAGAGGGAGTCAAAATAGCAGGATAAGGACTCCAGGTCAGTCATTTCTATCCTGGCTATAATGACAACATTGTTCTCCCTCTCACCTACTGGCATTCTATATAATATGTCCTTTATCAAACTTCTTCCAAACAATAGAAACTTTTCATTCAATTACCAAATTAGATCAACACTGTGAATCTGTAATAGGGAAGCAGCAGAGAAGACCCTGGAGTCAGTCTACTTGGTTTCAAACCAGGCTCTCCCATCTTACCAGCTCTGTGAACTTGGAAAAGTTATTTAATTTTTGATGCCTCAATTTCCTCATCTATTACAGGGCTTTGTAATAAGTTAATATGTTATCAAGTACTTTAAAAAGTGGTTAGCATGTAAGTTCTATATAAGTGATTAATATTATTAATATAATATTGATTCTGTAAACCTCTACTTGAATGACCTGAAGCAAAATTTGCTGAAAATATTATTTTAAGAACGTCAAATCTTCATAGAAGTGTAGTACACATCATCAAAACAATTTTAAACTTATTAGAAAATTGTAGAAGTAAGTTTTTTAAACAGCTGTGTTTGAGATCATTGACAATTTATCCTTTTATGGACCAAACATGTTTACTTTATACCAAATTAAAAATCCATAAACAGTTGATTGTCTTCCTTCTTCACATATTAAAAATAGTTTAAGGAAGTTGGGGCTTCTCAATAATGGCAAAATATTTACCTTAGGGTTTGTATCCCATTGCACAGATTTTGGCTAGTCAATGAAGCCTTTATCATACCTTCCGGTCCTCAATTAGAAGACTGAAGCAAGGGACATTCCTTGATAGCTGGGTTGGGCACCCATCATGAACATTTTCTAAAATGGGACATAATCTCCCTCTGTATCACTCAAAATAGGTGCCCAAACTAGTTAAAATAGCATTTTGCAATGTAAATTACAAAGAATACCATTTCTGAGAAATGTTAATATTTATTCCAAGTGAGCCTTCTTAAGTTCTTTAATAATATGAAATTTCATGCAATTGCTAAATCTTTCCTTTCTAGCAATTTCTAGCTGTGATTTCACCAACAGGTTAACAGCGTGACTGCAATTATTCCAAGATTTCTGTTTTCTATCCACAAAGAGTACATGACTTATCCTAATGACTTGTGCCATTTCTAAAATAAAAACAATGGTATCCTTTGTTATTAAGCTGTATAATTTATCCAAAACTTCTTTATTCACTTTAATCTGACGTTTAATTTTTCCAAGTTTTATGTAGTTTAAACTATATTTCAATTTCTGTACATTCCATTCAGTTTTAAAATTAGACACTCTAAACAAATGTTACTGTATTCTGAAATGAAATGCCACAGCTTAGAAGTTAATAAAGATGTAGCATTTAAAAACTCCAAATTTATTTCAAATTAATATTTTAACATTCATGTCATACTAAAATGAAATATCTAGAATGAGAGGTTCCTATGAAGTGCTTGAGAAAAGAACAAAAACAAGAAGTTGCTTACTTGATTGTCTGCAGAAACCTCACCCTGTCATTGATCTCATCTGGGATCTTACTGAGAATCTGTTTAAGTGCCCGTGCCTTTTCGTTTAGGTCCTGGAATTCTGGCTCTGGTCGTTCAATCATATACTCTGATAAAATAAATGCATAATAAAAAGCATCAGGCAACTCCCTGTCAAATGCAAGTCTACAAATTCCCAATGTTGGTTAAGAGGGTGAGGGAGGGGAGTAGAAAGGCCAGATAACCAGGAAAGACAAGGTTGCAAAAGCAGAATTTGTTAAGAGTTCAACTTAGTTTGGTAATAACAGGGCTCCTACGAAGTAAGATAACAGAAGATGAAAGACTAAACATTTTCTATTTGGGATAAATAGAAAGCCCATGAAATAAAAATAAATTAAATTAAAAGGGAGTCTTAATCAAATTGATCAAGCCCCTGAAGCTACATTTTTCAAGATAATCTTAATGACGTTCCTGACAAATATGATGGCGATATGTACCTGCCAATGGGGAAGATGAGCTTAACCAAAATCTCTATATTGAATATCATTATACCAAAACCCAAACAACCTACTAAAGTCTTCAGCACGTTCTTGAAATCTCACTTAAAAAACATACACCAGAAAACACTAAAACACTACCAACACAAGGGTTGGATCACAGAAGAGTAAACTTAGAAAGGAAGTTGAATCAGACCTGGTAGAGGCAAAAACATTACTAGTAGATTCATTGTAGACTTGGAAACATTACAACCCTACCAACCAATACAATCTGGCCTAACAGACCGGAAATGTGTAAGTGTAGAATAATGATGAGGACTTTCTTATAAATTATGGAATCAGTTAAAATATTTCCTTTTTTTTCTCCCTCAATAAAGATGGGAAATTCTACTTCTATTTTTTCTTAATTAGTGGGAAAATGGGTACTAAATTTAAGTGAAACCCATTTCTGATTATTTAAAAAGCAAAAAATGAGAAAGAATGGTTATTATATTGTCCTCTCAAATCTGTGGTTGAATAAAACACTAAAGTTAGAAAAAACCCTCATTAATTCACACTGATTTTTGCATCAAGTCAACACAAAATTAAAAAAAACAACAACATTCCACAGAGTTTATCTTTTGGCAAAACCAGAACTCATCAAACATATTCACAGGGGGAAAAAGTTAAAGTGTACAACATAAACAAACACTTTATTTCAAGTAATTAAATCTGAATCTGACAAATATAAAACAGAAAGCAAGAAGTACTTTTCTATTTTATAGGCCCCCCACCCCAATATTATCACAATACTAATAACAAGAAAAAGAAGAGAAGGAGGAGAGGGAAAAGAGGAGCTAGAACCTTTTGTCAAGCAATAAAGATTTGGAAGAAGTGCTTTTCAACAACTGTAAGAAAACTAAACAAGACTCTTTCTGATTACCTTCTACATCATCAGCTGCCATTCGAAGAAGTGATTCTGTGAAGTTAACTTCTACACTTTTTTTCTCTAAAATTTTCATTATGATGTCTTGTGTGAGTCCTGGATTTTCTTTTTCAGCCTATAAGGAAGAGAAAGCTAGTTTTGAAATGTAGAAATGAAATCAGAATTTTAAAACCAAAACTTAAATGTTTAGAAGGTTTGGGAACTTAAACTGATGAACCTAGAAAGGCAGAAATCTTTGTAAAGCGGTGATGGTATCACTTCTGTTTGATAAAACTTAAACATCAGTCACTTTTTATTACAGCCAATGTCTATTTTCCATTTGAACATAAAGTACTTAACATTTCCTACTTCTCCTTTACATTCTCCTGAAATCAAACTAATAACAAAGATAGAAATAAACATGTATTTTGGTAATCCATCAATTACTTTTTTCAGTAGCTAAAATAGACTAAGGATTTTTAGATTTTTTTTCATTAGGTAATCTTTCAACTTGAGGATCTAGCAATTAATTACTCATCTCACCAGTATTTTACAGATTCTCTGCATTTGAATGAACAGAATGTCAGGAATAGCAAAAATAAAACAGGATTACTTTTGCAAGTTTTCTTGAAGATGTATAATCCCTTAAATGCTTCCCCATACAATGATTCTCACTTTCTGTTTTCTTTTTGTAGCAAGACTATTACCTTCACTAGTTTTCAGAACATGATTAACCCTGTTACTACCCTGAGCTTGTTCCACTAATGAGTTTGCAATGGTTCGATGTTACTCCCCAGGGCACTAAAATGGTCTAGTCATTTCAGTACTGAGCATAAAGAGTTCTGAGTTTACCAAAGTTAATTTTCAAGATTTGGGTTTTCCCCAGTAATTTTATCCAATTTTATAATTGTTCTAAATTTTATAATCACACTATACATTTGTTTCTTTTAGGATGACTGCCAATTTTAATCATTATGCTGATGATTCTTCATCTTTCTTGCCCTGATACTAAATAGAAAATAGAAACAATTTGTGATCTTAACCATATGGCGACCTATTTGTTTTCTTATGTGTCAAGCACACTTAATCTCTGCCTTTTCAATTGCACTCTGGCATCACTGCAGATCCAGCTTTCTTCTGCACCTATTGCTCTCTCCATTATGACATCTTGTTTCTCAATAGATTTCAGTATAAAAAATTAAAATGCTGTGGAATTAAATGGGAAAAGAAAATACACACATTTATTTCAATCCTGAGATCATTTTTAACTGTTGTCAAATGTTCTTCAGGAAAGTAATTTTGATATATAATTAATAACAGTAAAGTGTGTCTTACTGAATTACATTTTTGTTGTTGTTGTTAACCCTCACTTGAGGATATTTTTCACTGATTCATTGATTTTTAGGGAGAGGGAAAGACAGAGAGAAACATTGATGTGAGAGAAACACATCGACTGTTGCCTCCTGCCTGAGCCCTATCCAGGGCCGGGGCAGGGGAAGAGCCTGCAACCAAGGTACGTGCCCTTGACTGGAATCAAATCTGGATCCTTTGGTCCGAAGGCCGATGCTCTATTCACTGAGCCAAACTGGCTAGAGCTGAATTCTATTTCTTTTAACTGTAGTCCCCCAGTTACTCATGGGGGATATGTTCCAAGATCCCCAGCAGATGCCTGAAACCATAGATAGTACCAAACCCGATACAAACAGATGCTCTTCAACTTATGACAAAGTTATGACCCTATAAGCCCATCACAAATCGAAAATATCCTAACTTGAAAGTGCATTTTATACACCTAACCAACTGAACATCACAGCTTAAACAAGTCTACCCATACTCAGAACACAGTATCTAAAAAATGCTGATAACACAGTACACTGTAGAGTATTGGTGTTTACTCTATGATGGAGTGCCTGGCTGGGAACTGGAGCTCAATGCCACTGCCCAGCATCATGAGAATATTGTACCGCATACTGCTAGCCAGGAAAAGATCAGAGTTCAAAATTCCAAGTACAGTTTCTACCAAATGTGGACAGCTTTCAAACCACTATACAGTCAAAAAATCCTTAAGTCAAACCATGATAAGTTGGGGACTGTCTGAATTATGTTTTTCCTATACATACATATCTATAACAAAGTTTAACATATAAATCAATTAGGAACAATAAGAGACCAACAATAACAATTAAAAAAAGAATAATTCTATCAATGCACTGTAATAAAAATTATGTAAATATAGTCTCTATCAAAATATCTTATTGTAACCAACCCTTAACTTGCAGTAAACAGCTTGGTGTCATTCGTTTCAGGGGATCCCTTGCTTAAATCTTCATATAGTCTCAATGTTTCCTGGTGCACATATTTTTGTTATCAATTGGAACATTTTTTTGTTCATGTTTTCCACCCACAAATTTAGTGACTTTTTAACTTAACTAAATAAACACTTACCATGCACTGTGGCTGTAACTTTTGCAGTTTGAGATGGCACAGCAAAATTTACACAAATTCCTTTTTCTTTCTTCACAATTTCATGAATAGATTTGTTTTTACCATTGACCTTAGCAACCTGGACATACACATTTTTTTTCTTTCCTTTGTAAGTCAAAAACTTTCACCTTTTCACTTAAAGGAAGCACATTGTGGCATATCTCTTTTGGCATATCCCAATTGCCAGTATAACTGCTTTTGAGCTTTGTGGCCATTAGTAAGTAAAATAAGGGCTAGTTAAACACAACTACAATACCATGAAAGACTGATGTGATCACTGAGAAAGCAACTAAATGTCTAAAGGCAGGGAGCACATATAGCACAGAGACACTGGACAAAGGGATTGAGCAGGATGGTGTGAAATTTCATCCCAATACCCATAATGGAACAAAATTTAAAACCTAAGAACTTATTATTATTTCTGAAATTTTAAAATTTATAAATTTAAAATCAAACCATAAATTTGTAATTTAAAAATTATAAAACTTATTTCTGGAATTTTCCATTTAATGTTTTTGAACCACAGTTAAAACAGGTAACTAAAGTGTAACTGTGGATAAGGGGAGACCACTGTATAGTCAGTTTTGATTTTTCCTTCCACAGATTTATTTAAGGTAGGATCTATTTAATTAAAAGAAAATAAAAGTTGTCTTTAAAAGAAAAGCTATACAAATACAGTATGAACTTTATGAATTTGGTGAGCTGACACAAAATTACATGTACGACACTATTTAAATAAGCCAGTATTTGATAACTGGTTTATCTTTCCTAAAAATACCATTAAATTATCAATAACACATTATTTTGGGGAGCAGGGGGGCATTCTCTATATGCTTCCAGACAATGCCTGCAGAAAACAATCTCTCTGATTAAGTTATAATAAGGTGCTGAAAAAAATCAAATGCTGAAAGCCTGACAACAAAGTTTGCAATATCAAGTTGGTCTGGGGCCTCAACGTGCCAAAGCTGAAACATTACAGAAATCTCGCAGCGGTTCCTAATGTTTTAAAGTCAGTGTTCTTAGTGCCAAAAGAAATACCTAACAGTACTGTGTATTAAACAGTCAGGTTCAAACAACTATTAAATACTGAAGGCCTAAAAACATAGTAGCCTTTAAAAAATACACAAATTGACAAAAAAGTATTTAATTTTATTCTTCAAATAACTATACTTATCTTAATGAGAACTGTACACCCTGCTGGGCATTGCATAATGTCTCAAATGTTGGAATTCGATTCGACACTACCCTCATTTCCTGTTGTACATTGATTTCCTTATGGTACTTGCTTTTTATCACAGCAATGACCAAAGTCCAGCTGACAAAGACATGACATAACTGAAAGGAATGTAGTCCAATCAAACTACTACGTTGAAACAGCAAACTACTGCAAGCTAGTAGTTAGTTCAGTGTCAACCAGATGTTGAATATCACCGTGTTTCTTTAAAATTTTTAATTACCTCATGACACCTAAGATACTTGCTATCGGGTCCCAGGGTGCCCTGGCACATAGTTTGAGAATAGTTGCCTTAGTATCTTCTGACTGAACTCTTACTTAGGCTACATTTTATTTTAAACGCCTTAAATTTATCCAATGACTCTGACTGACAAAATAAATAGATCTACCGTTAAACCAGAGACTATATACCTACAGGTTTCCCCCTGCCCCCAAATAAAACCTTCAACTCTATGAGCATATAATTTTTATGAAGAATCCAACTGTGAGAAAAAACTGTCTCCAAGGGCAGTAATATCCAATCTGTGAATCAGTGATTCTCAACAGCACAACCTATCAGAACTTCTAGATGGGAAAGGAATCAAAAGCAGAATATATAATTACTAAAATTAATTTATCTTGAAATAAATTATTTCAACCCTTTTTCCCCAATAACAAAAATAGATATTAAAGCTTGATAAATATAACTGTTGTTATGGACCAAGAACTGGAAATATGCATTTAAATATATATAAACACAAAAATCTTTATCTTTCTAATGCATGCCTTCCTTTAATTTCATTGGAAATTTAACATATTAAATGTGAAAATTAAGAATAAACCAATGCAAACTGACTAATGTTTTCCTCCAAAATAACTTTCACTATCCCCAGTTAAGAATCCATGCCATGGAGAGCAAAATTTACCCATGTATCAAACCAGATCTACCATAGCCACACTTTAAAAAAACTGCTTTTTACTTGTACTTGTGTTAAAACATGAGCTTATATATAAAGACATTACAAAAAAAGCTTCATGAAATTCATTATTTTATTTCTTTTATGAATGTCATTTAGTATACCATCTACTGCTTCAGACAGGGACTTCTTTACCAAAATACACAGGAGAAATACTCTCTGTTCTGGGTATCAGGAAAGCTGAAAAACGGACTTTTGCCTAACCAATACTACATTGTGCAACCTAACACTTTTCCTGTTCTTTGGTTACACACATGCTTAAAATAGTTGCCATTAAGCCTCCCTAATGACCAAATATGCCATTTAAAATCACACTAATAAGGAAAGAAGGTAAAAAAGAAAAGATAATGGCATTGATTTATTGATTCTCTTTATTAATCCAATGATTTGCCAAGGATATGTTTTAAAGAAGCTAGTATGAATGTGTACTCAGATACTACATTTTATAGAATATTAAACACATCTAGGTAATTCTAATCCAATATATACAATGTGAAAAGAGAGATGCCAAGTGACATTATCTATGCTGTCAGTTAAGACTGGAATCTATAAGCTAATCTTTGCCATAAAAATATTGGATTGATTTATAATTTCAACTGCAATGAATCTCAACTATAAATTTATTCTTGATTTAAATATTAAAATACTTTACCTAAAACCTAAGTTGTTTTAGCTATTGATAGGAACAAACACACAAAAAGTAAATAAAAATTAAAGTTTGAGGCACCCTGATAATCTATTTTGGGGGATGGGAATAAAGTTTTATATGCAAGAATGCACCCAACATGTAAAGTAGGGGCATCCAATAAAAATATAATGTAAGAAACAAATATAAGCCCCTGTAATTTTAAATTTTCTAGTAGCCATATTCAAAAAGGTTTTTAAAAAATGTAATTATGTTAAACCCTGGCCAGTTTGGCTCAGTGGATAGAGTGCTGGTCTACAGACTGAAGGGTCCCAGGTTCGATTCCCATCAAGGGCACATGCCCAGGTTGCGGGCTTGATCCCCAGTATGGGGCATGCAGAAGGCAGCTGATCAATGACTCTCTTATTGATGTTTCTATCTCTCTACCTCTCCCTTCCTCTCTGAAACCAATAAAAATATATTTTTTTAAAATATATAAAAAATGTAATTATCTTAAGAGTACATCTAAAATATTCATTTCAACATGTAATCAATATAAATTACTTAGTACTGAGTTATTTTACATTCTTTATTTTGTACTAAGTCTTTGAAATCTGGAATGTATTTTATATGCACAGTACAATTAAATTGGAACTAGCCATATTTTAAGTCCTCAACAGTGACAGATGGCTAGTGATTATCAATCAAAATCTCAGGTCTAGAAACAACAGAAAAATTCATGCTGAGTGACTTAGCTGTATATTCTCGAAGAGTACTTAATATGATGTACACACAGGTCTTATTTTCATGCTCAAAACATGTTTTATACTTATATTCTAAAATTTAATAATATGAATCTTTTTGAGTTACAATTTTATAAAAGTTTTTAAAAACAATTTAAAAATCAACTCCAAAGTTAAAGAGAGAATACTCCAAAGTCAGTTTCAAAAGCACCAAGTGAAAGGACGAATTTTGAGGAAAGAGCACTTGTCTCAGTTCACTTTTTGGGAGTGTATTAATCTTTACAGAGTACACCAAAACAGGCTCAAGATAGTTAAAAGGGTTGTTACTAGGAAATAACCTGGCAATTATCAGCTGGTATTTAGATTTATGTATAACATACATTCTAATAATCACAATAAGTTACTTGCGCCTCACCTTAATGAAAGCTGCTCTCAGTGTCTGAGCTGCAGACAGATTTACTCGTTCTAGCTGCAATAAAAATTTTAAATCAAAATTAATATCAATTTTCTTAGAAAAAGCAAAATTTCTGATATTCCATTCTATAGTGAGCACATTGATACACACATCATTCAACTACAAAAGTATTTGCTAATTAACTCTAAATCACCATAATTCTTCAAAGAGAAGAATTATCTAAAAATTTCATTAGAAACCATGAAAACTTAAGGTATGCATATTTATTCCTTTTTTAAAAAAGTAAGAAACTTATTTTATTTATTTTAAATAAATAAATGTACTTTATTTATTTATTTTAAGCAAAAGCAGTTTATTGAGAGATAGACAGACTCCCTTTAGCAGGGAGGAAAGGAGCCCAAGTGGGTTGATCAGAAACACTGTACTTTAAAGACAGATTTATTTTAAGATAAGCACAGAACACAAAATAATATAAATCCCTATAGAAAGCATAAACACATTTGAGAGTGTGTGTCCTTTGAATATAAAATGACCAATACAAAGAAAACATTTGCTACTTAAGATTCTTTGTATTTACCACCATACTCCTTCTTAATTGCTTTTCAATCCCCTCAGCCAAGGATTAAGCTGAGATTAGTCTATTTTATTAATTAGCAAATAGTGCAGATAAAAGGTTTGTTTGACACTCAAATTGATGACTGTGGATCATCCGGGATTTCAGAGATGCTTATATCTGTCCTGTATTTTATCAGGATTAAAAAAGAGTTACCTAAAATACTAAATCAAAAGTTCAATCCAAATGCTTTTAATTTTTGTCAAATATGTAAAGTTTATAATTTTGAAAGATAAAATGACCATATTAGAAACTTTATACAATTCACTTTCAGTGAGCCAAAGAAGGTATACAATTTCATAAAAACCAAAAACACCTCTTTGTTGAAGAGTTAACTGCCAGGCTTAAAATAACTATTTTCAGTTAAATTCGGATTTCTTTAGTCCCTAAGAATTAGGCCAGTTAACTCAATAAAACTCAACGTATTTATTTTTTATTTGGGACAATATTAAATGTTCAAAAGCATTTTAACCTTTATAAATTTCTATGCAAATAGAAAATTTCTATAGAAACCTTATTAACCTATTATGCAATAAATATTCCTTTCAATCTCAAGGCAATGAAAATGTAGGTTTTCCTTTATAAACAACACACAGGATGGGGCAAAACTAGGTTTACATTTGTGAGTACTAGAAATAGTTTATTCTTGTACTATTATTTATTGTATTTTTTCCATATAAATGACTATAAACCTACTTTTGACCTACCCTACACACACACACACACACACACACACACACACAATATCTCCAACACCACTTTATCTCCAAAAATAAAAAGTGGAGTATTTAACTTAGCTTCTTACACATCTTGTAAAATGTAACGTTGTCTTTAGTAGGTAAAAGGGAAAATACAAGGGGACAAGTTAGCAAATATAGCAAAAAAGCAACTCTATGAGGAGTTTATAAAATTAACAAAGGTTTATCTCCAAAAATGATTTTTTCCCCACAGAATTCACTTAGTTATAATGAATACAACTGAAGATTAAAATAACAACACAGCTCTTCTGATCTCAAGATCTTGTTATGCAGGATAGGCAGAAGGAGACAGGATGAATGTTTCCACCCTGATAGAAACCTATTTCCTTATTTGGGTTAACACCACATTCTGACCTCTTTCAACAAGTCAAAGGTCTGAGTCACATGTGTGCCTTCAATTATCAGCAATATAACTCATTCTGTAATCCCTGATATGTGAAAGGCACAAAGCCAGGAAAAAAAATCAAGAACAGTCTGTGAAGAACTCATAGAATTAGCCAACTTCCCTTACCATCAGCATCTCTAGATTTCTAGATTAAGTTTACATATGTGTATCTTAGAAAAGGGGAAGGTCAGAGGTAACACACTAAATCAAATCTGTGAGCTATGAAGCATCTCACCAGAGCTCTAAGAGGAGTCATTCTGGGATACATTCTATACCCACATTTCTTGTAATAAACCCACTAGGCTTTATAGCTATGTGATATCCACATTCCCCAGGGAATACCAGGCACATAGGCACTATACATATTTTAATCAAACTTCATTTCTCCTAAATTTATCTAAATTGTTCTGGAATCTATAATTTCAGCCTGTAATACTTAGGTAGCAAGATAAGGTTTTCTTTTCTCTATTAAAAGTGCTTCTATATTAGGCCTCTCACTTGAGATACATGATTTCAAAATAAAATCATGTTTATCTTACTAGTACCTTTCATGAAAATATCAGGTTCCAGTAATATTCTAACAGCTATCATTTACTAAGAACTTATTATACAGCGTATTTTTATAGAGTATCTCTAATCCTCACAATAAATATGGTACTAGTTATCATCATCTCCATTTTACAAAAGAAGTAACTCAGTTTGCATAAATTTATGCAAATATTAAAAAGCTAGTAGGTTGAGAAAGGATTCATACTGGATCTGTCTGGCTCCAAAACCCCATGCATAAGACACTAATGCTACCCTGCCTCCCTGTACTCACCCTCTCCAGATGGGAATCTACCCTATCATTGAATCTCTTCAACTACTTAAGAACCAATGCATTTCTGAGTTTCTACCATGTGTAAGGGAGATAGTGTGAGAGAGACACATCAATTGGTTGCCTCCCACACGTGCCCCAACTGGGGCCCGGGATGGAATCTGCAACCCAGGTACGTACCCTTGACTGGAAATTGAACCTGAGACCCTTGTGTTTGAGGGCTGACACTCTAACCACCGTGCAAGCCAGGCCAGGGTAAGAATTATTTTTTAGCCTTATTTTACATGTAAAAAAAATAAGACAAAATTATATAACCTAATAAGTGACAGAGAAGTAATTCAAATGTAAATCTTAACTATGATCACCTCTGGATGGTGGTATTGCAGGGGAAACCCATGCCTTCACTGTAAAAAAGTATGTTTACTATGCTCAAAATCTGGGATCTTTTTTTTTTCGACTAGGAAAAAATAAAAAGGATAGGTAGGCAGGTAAAGCTGCAAAAGTATTCTCAGGATTCATTCCCTTATTGATAAATTAGGAGTTGTATATGCTGCTGAGAGTTAGCAGAAATAGTTGATTTGGATTCTTCTGAATAGGATGATACTAATTACTTATTCGTAAGTGCCGTTTTGTGTGATTTTTTTAATTGATTTTTTACAGAGAGGAGGGGAGAGGGATAGAGTTAAAAACATCAATGAGAGAGAAACATCGATCATCTGCCTCCTGCACACCCCCTACTGGGGATGTGCCTGCAACAAAGGTACATGCCTCTGACCAGAATCGAACCCGGGGACCTTTCAGTCCGCAGGCCGCTGCTCTATCCACTGAGCCAAACCGGCTAGGGCATTGTGTGATTTTTTAATAAACAAAAGTGGTAAACTTTGATGATCTAAAATTCACCTTTGGTTGCAAAATTGCTATTTCTGTCTCAAAATACCTACTTCATACAGTATATTTCCCCTTAAACAATTCCTCCAAAAGTCATGGGAAAATAAGATACATGGTATATCTTTTCCTAGAATGAAGAAATGAAGCATGTAACTCTCTTCTTCCATATATAAAAAATTAGTGAAAAGTAATAAGTACCTGAAAACCTGTTCTAACACTTGGCATTAGGTTTTTATAAACTCATTCCATAATGCAAACAAGAGACCTATTTCACAGTACATTTACAACACATGCAATACACTTGGACTCTGAACTCTGCAGCTGCTGATTAAACAAGCCCACTCCTTCAGCTGTCCTAGCATAACTTCATTAAGTTTAGCAAGCATCATGCTCCCAGAATGCCATAAATAACTTTGCCTTGTGAGCTAGAGTACCAAAATTTCCTCAGGTGTAAGGATGTACTACTGTCTAAAAATCTGTTCTACAAGATGACTGGGAGATCCATCATTGTTATTATTATGGATGTAATGTTATGATGAGAATGCATAAGCTTTTTCACTCTTATATTACACTAGAGGCCCGGTGTGCACAGGTAGGATCCCTAGGCCTGGCTGGCAATCAGGGCCGATGGGGGCCTTCCAGCTGCCAGCCAGGGCCTTCCTTCGTTATGCAACGGCCCCTGGTGGTCAGTGCATGTCATAGCGAGTGATTGGTCTCCCGTTGGAACTCCCATGGGGATAATTTACATATTAGGCATATATATGTATATATATATCTTAGACAAAATTTAGTGACTCGTTTACCTTCAGAGTAAAATGCTCACCCCTACTGTGGTACTACTTTCTGCAAGATTAACTTGACAATCACTTATCTTTAAATCTGCATAGTACAGACAAACAATGCCAAACTAATTTCCCAATTAGTAGATTTATAGAAAAATCCTCCTTTGAACTATAAATATCAACTAACTGATTAGGTATCTTATTTAATTTCACCTCTATCAAAGAGAAAACCTACTACTACTAATATTCCTAAAAGCCTATTCATTCTGTACTCTCTTTTTAAAATACATGACAGAAATAATTATTTTAAAAAGCTTGATACCATGTTTGATCAATAAATTCAATTTGAGAATTAGACCCTGAGAATTTGATATAGTATCTCTCAGTCTGCAACTTCCAGCCATTTCATTTTAAAAATTTACTTCTAACAATTAGTTCTTGAACCAACTATGAATCATTTGGCGCCGTATTCTAATTCTGGGCCCATTAACCCACATATGTTTTTAGATCTCATCTGGAGAGAATCACTGCCTTTATTTCTGAAAGAGATTTACTAGTCCATTCACAGCCGTTTATTTTTCTTTCAAGTTAATTTTCCTTATACCAAATAAATTAGGAAAGTTGTATTAATCTCAACAGAGCATTTCACCAGAATGCTACATCTTATACAATTATTTTCCAAAGTCAAGACTGAAATAAAATCCACTTTCCATATGTAAAAAAATATCACCGAAATTGTTAGGAAAAAAGCTTTTCTCATTCCTTTTCATTAACTAAAGGATCAAACTGAAACTCAGAAATTTAACTGCCCTTCTGCCAAGGAAAGACTCAACGTAACCAGATAAATACAGAATAATCTCCCAAAACAACTTGGCCCAATAGCCACTGAGTTAGCTATAGAGTTAGACTACAGACATGAAAAGAGGGAGTACCTCTGGCAGGAACTGCCTGATGGTTCTTAAAATACCTGAGAAGTCCAAACACTAATCATCAAGATAGATTACTCACCAGTTTTCAGGGATTGTCTCCTTACTTCTTACCTGGTACGAGGATCATTAAATAATTTATTTGCTTAAGTATCTGTATTCCCTAAGATTCTTATAAGAAAGGTTGTTGCTTATTTTTCCCCCTACAGTTCCAGACCCTAGCAGAACACTCAATGAATAAATGGTTGGCTTTTAGTAAATATTTACTAATCAGAACGGAAACACTTGCTTTTAACAATAACTCTAGCCTTGCAACAAATGGGTAAAGTATTAAAACAAAATGTTGGAATTAATTACTAGAGTGTCTGCGATAGTTGCCAGATATAGGTGTAACCAGCACTAAAAGGGGGCCTCAGAAGCTAGCATGGTAGCAGTACAATAGAGACAGGTTTTTCAAAAGATGCCTCCTACTTGCTTCCTCCTTAGTAGCAAACTTCTTAATTTCCCAACCTCTTTTGCAGCTAGGTGTGGTCATAAGATTACATTTTTGCCAATGAGACGTAAATGGAAGTCTTGTATAGGACATTCAAAAAGGTTCTTAAGAAAGCAGAATCAGTTAGAGGTAACACACACACACACACACACACACACACACACCCTCCTGCCCTTTTTTTTTGCCCTTTCCAGGAAACAACTTAGGACAGTGGTTCTCAACCTTCCTAATGCCACAACACTTTAATACAGTTCAAGTTGTGGTGACCCCAACCATAAAATTATTTTCGTTGCTACTTCATAACTGTAATTTTGCTACTGTTATGAATCGTAATGTAAATATCTGATCTGTGGGATGTTATTTTCATTGTTACAAATCGAACATAATTAAAGCACGATTAATCACAAAAACAATATGTAATTATATATGTGTTTTCCGATGGTCTTAGGCGACCCCTGTCAAAAGGTCGTCGCCCCCAAAGGGATCGCGACCCACAGGTTGAGAACCGCTGACTTAGGACGATGAGCTTCAGCAGCCATCCCACATGCTGAAGTGACCTTGATAATGGAAGGCCAGTACTAACATGATGGGACAAAAGATAGGAACCTGAGTTTCAGGTGATACTGTGCCATAATACTAGCTCTAGTCCACTTACCTCTAGAATTTTTTATGTAAGAGAAATAAATTTTACCCAAGCCACTGTTTTTCATTTTCTCCTTTGGTCACTGAGCCTAACACTATTTAGGAGACAGTGTTTGAAGTTCAAAATATTTGTCTGAAATGGAAACTAATCTAAGTCTCTAGATTTCAAATTGAAGAGGATGAACCATTCTCTACTGACCCCAAGACATTAGATCATAAAATAGATCAAATTAAACCTAATAATGTAGGAGAAATGGTTTTTAAACTCACGATCTTACTCTAATATAATTATTTTACAAAAAGAGATGAAAAATTATGGGAAATGGTAAGGGCTTCCAGGTTGTAGTAGCAACAATAAGGTTAATGGCATCAATAGCTTTATAATTAATTAGATTAATAAAACAGAAAAAAAAAAAACCACCCACAAACCCACAACTAATTAAATAGATAAAAAGCCTAAAGCCACAGAATTCAGAGTCCTAGATTGTAGTCATAGGTAATTTCAGGAAAATAATTTCATATTATCAGGACCTTAGGTCACCATTAAAAGGCAGAGGAGAGTGATTAGATTATACCTAAGAAACTTGCACAGCTCCAGAATTCTCTACACACTTTAACATATATTAATTTAAAAGAAAAACCAAAATGTATTAATACTATTAAGTCCTACAATATTTCTAAAAAAAAACAAAACACGACATCTTCTCTAAATACAAAGCACTGTTATGTTTCATTTATCGGTAAAAATGTTTGTGGCTACTAACTATAACTCAGTAGGATAATTTGTGCCTGCTCCTCTGGCTATCTAATGTGCTTGTCCCCAACTCTTCAGCTGTCTAACCCTTCCGTATCCCTTTCAGATCTTTAGCATGTCTCTTCTTCAGTGAGGCCTACCCTGACCTCCAAAACAAGTACCTATTTTTTTTAACTTCATAGCAATTACCACAATTTTTCATTTATCTAATTATTTGTATTCTTTTAGTTAATGTCTCTCTCTCTCGAACTACAATGAAACCTCTAGAGAGGGAACAATATATCTGAGACTCTCACCCCACTGTTTTATGTCCAGTCCTGGCATAATACCTAACACATAGATGGAATTCATTTATATAAGTATGTTATATGAAGGAGCCAACAAATGAATAAATGAAGTAGGCATTAAGGAATTGCAGAGATCCCATGAGAAAATATTACAGACTTACCTCATTAAACACAGGATACATGACTGCATAGAGAGGCATAGAAACCATGGAAGTGGTCTCAGCTTCATTCTTCATCTCTTCCATTGTCATCCTCATTCAAAAGCCAACTACAGTAGAAAAAGCAGTGCTAAAATGCAGAGGAATCTTCATTCACTGCAGTATTTCTTCTCTCTTTTTTTGTGATAAAAGAATAGGTCACAAAACATATATTGACCTGGTTAAAGGGGAGAAAGAACAGTAAGTTATTACATTAAGAGGAAACAACAGATACAGCATTTTTTTTTCAAAGTAGAGTCCTTATCTTATGAAAATCAGAATTTTTAATATATCTTACTTGTAAAGGCAGCCCTAGTCAGTGAGACATCTGTTTCCCTTCTCAGATTCAAGAATTGCCCTTTCTTAACAGCTAATCTCTCTTATTAGGTACTACACTACAAAGCAGTGTTGCATGATTCCACTCATCTTGAATTCAGAAAGAGCTCTTTATGAAGCACCACGGATTAATGATTTATCTAATTCCATCATATGCAATCTAGGAAAAAGTATCAAAATGCATAATTATAGCATTTACATGCAATATCCTATATAATAAAAGGCTAATATGCAAACTGACCGAATGGCAGAATGACCGGTCGCTATGACGCACACTGACCACCAGGGTACAGATGCTCAACACAGGAGCTGCCCCCTAGTGGTCAGTGCGCTCCCACAGGGGGAGCGCTACTCAGCCAGAAGCTGGGATCATGGCTGGCGAGTACAGCAGTGGTGGCTGGAGCCTCTCCCGCCTCCGTGGCAGTTGGACATCACCTAAGGGCTCCTCGACTGTGAGAGGACACAGGCTGGGCTAAGGGACCTCCCGACCCGAGTGCACAAATTTCATGCACCAGGCCTATAGCACATTTATAACTATGAAATGTACAGTGTGTATGAAATACAAATAAAGAATTAAGAATAAAGAATTGAAGTGTATAACATTTTCATTAAAAAGCCTTTTGCTAATTGTTCACTGATTCTGTCATCTAAAAATAACAATAAAAACATAAGTACCAAATAATTTAAGGCAAATCTTAAAACTGGAAAATTGCTACCAAATGTGGTCCATTTGGGGAGGAAAAATGTTACTTAATTCTGCCAATGGTACTTTTTGAACCTAAAACAAGAAATCCATAGACACTGGTAGTCTGGAATTAAAATATCACGATTCAATAATATAAGAGAGAAATTTTACCTTGAGGGGTTAAGGAAATGTGTTGCTTCTTAAGAGAAAGCAACTATATTTATTCCCTTTGCTAGGCTAAAAAATAAGCCTAATTATAAAGTGGAAGTGTAACAGTAGTCACTTATCTATATATATAGTTACAAAACAATCAATTTGAATAATTTCTACCATTTGCAAAGCATTCTCAGATTATAAAACATTTTCACATGCATTTAATCCTTATAACTTATTTACAGTAATTGTCATTCTAATTTTACATGAAAAAGAAGGCTCAGAGATAATAATTTGCCCAAGATCACACATGCAGAGGCCCAATACTGGATCCCAGTACTAAGAATCCAGATCTGATTCTCCCACATCATAAAATCAAGTCTGAAGTGGAAACAAAGAACCTGAGTTCATCCACCCAAGAAAATACCCAGAAGTAGAAGTTATTTATTTACTGAATAAATATACGTTTAGCACCTACCACTTGCAAGATGCAGTTGGGGATGAATAGATGTCCTAATCATTAACAATTTACCGGGGCCAGACTGTGAAAGGCCTATGCAGTTTGAAAGGTAATATCAAAGGCCTGGCGTACTTACAGCTTCAAAATTCTCCAATAATCCATCCCATTTGAGAACTGCTTACTATCCTTCCATATCCCAACCAGGGAACTCAACACCTACTTGAACAGTCTGGTTCCATTTCTGGTAGTTCTAAACATAGACAGTTTGTCCAATTTGTGAGCTGACGTATGCTCCCTGACTTCACAGAACAACAACAAAACAAGGCCAATTCCTAAATTTTATTCTAGGGCAAGAGAAAATCATTACCTGATCAGACCACTGATTTAAGTAGATTGCTTGGTCATAGCATTAAAAATAGAATGGCGGAACAGAAACTGAAGGCAGAGAAAACATGTATCTTTACAAGAGATCAACAAGACCTGAATAATAAGTAAGAGGAAGTAGGTAAATATCAGTTGTGGCCCCACTGTTTCTATTTAACTACCTAATAAGCCATTTGGTAACCTACTTTTCCACTTAGAAATAAATTGTGAATACTTTTTTATAATAAACTTGGAACAAAGGCTGAAATACAGAGAAACTGGTCAAAATGAAAATGATAGGTACTGTACGCACAGTTTAACAGTAAAAGAAGGCATCTACTATATCAATGAAAAAAGCAAGTAAGAAATAGTAGGACAGGGTCAACAGAACCTGGGAAGCTATCTCACTGGGTGACAGAAAAAGAAATCATTCACTTATTTAATAAATATTTATTCATTACCTACACAGCATTAGGCCTGGTACTAAACAGAGACCAGTAAACAAGGCTAGACAGTCTCTGGCTTCATGCAGTTTATATACTATGGAAGAAAAGAGAAAATGAACAATTGTGAGTATGACACAGGGGAGAAGTCAGGACGCTATACTATGGGAAAATGAGATGAGAGAACCAGCATCACAAAAACCAGGTGTTTCAAATACTCCCAAGTATGGACAAGTTTTTAAAGAAGTTTATTTGGTTTCTTGGCGAGGTCAAGAATAACATTCAAAGAGTAGGATCATCTCTGCAAGGGCTGATATATTGAGAGAAGTCTACAAGAATCTCAGTAAAAAGGAGGTGAAACAGTAAAGAAGGTTCAATAGAATCATTTTTGTCTTTTACTCTTTCAAACACATGTGCCTGTCCCTGCATATAAAGACAGAAGGAGATGCAGAAAAGTGTTCACTTTTATGATTCAAATGAATTATATATTTCCTTTAAACCAATTTTACAGTACTATCAACTACTATTTGTCATAAAAAAGACAATATTATTGCAACACCATTCTGGGCTAAATAGCTGGCTGGCCCACAAAACACTTAATCACCTTTTAATATTGTTTCTGTGGATTAATTTACAACTTTTCAGAACACACATTTACAAATTAGGGCCACTCACAGCTTCATTAGCATTAACATGAGATTAAAACCACCAATTCCAGTGCACTCTCCCTCCTGGGAGCATGCCTTAGCCTTTCCCCTCCTCCTCTTCTTCCCCGACAGGCATGCATCTCCTAAACTTTAAGGGACTCCATGAGGCTTTAGACCAGGGAAGCAATGGGCAGCAGCAGTTTGTCCCAGGCAAACCTCCTGAACCTGTCTCAAGCCGCCCTTCTCTTTGACTGCTTAGTGAGCCAAAGCAGTTAAGCCTAAGCTCATTCCCCCACCTAGTCTCTCTTCTGCTATCCTAGGCCAGTGATGGCGAACTTTTTGAGCTCGGCATGTCAGCATTTTGAAAAACCCTAACTTAACTCTGGTGCCGTGTCACATATAGAAATTTTTGATATTTGTAACCATAGTAAAACAAAGATTTATATTTTTGATATTTATTTTATATATTTAAATGCCATTTAACAAAGAAAAATCAATCAAAAAAATGAGTTTACGTGTCACCTCTGACACGTGTGTCATAGGTTCGCCATCATTGTCCTAGGCCCTTTCCTCTTTCACTGTCCCCAGCTTTAATAAATGTTCCCCAAAATTCAAAACAAACAAAAACAAACCACCAATTCCAACACGGCTTATTAAACTGTTCTGCTAATTTTAGTTTAAGTTAAAATATGTTGTCATACCTTTTATATACTTCTTCATTTGAGATGGTTAAATGTACAACCTGCAATCACTCCAAGCAGAAAAAGATCCTGCTACCTAAAGGGCAAGGGTCAGCTGAACTGAGGAAGGGCTGAGGCCCTGCCCCTTTGAGAAGGTTCCTTCCTTTCAGCATGGGTGTGGCCAGTCAGGCAGCACATTATCAGCCTCTAAGGGATACTACTGATTATGCATGTATAGTCCACTGATTAAAGATTACTGACCCTAAATCACAAATGTGGAAAGACCTTGGAAAGACCTTAAAAAGTCACCTCTTCCCCCCTTTAGTACAGCAGAAACCAAAGTTCAAAAAAATGAATTACCCATGATCAAAATTTCTAGCTAATCTATATCTAAATCTATATCTAAATCTAAATCTAAATCTAAATCTATATCTATATCTATATCTATAAGCCCAGTGACCAAAAGGTCGAACGACCAGAATGACTGGTCAACCAGTCGCTATGACGCACACTGACCAACAGGGAGCATATGCTCAACGCAGGAGCTGCCCCCTGGTGGTCAGTGCGCTCCCACAGTGGGAGTGCTGCTCGGCCCACAGCAGGTGCAGCCTCTGGGCTGACCAGGATGAGCGGCACTCCCACAGCGGGCTGATCCCTGCAGGCCATGCCTCCCACCAGTGCACGAATCTATGCACCAGGCCTTTAGTAATAAATAAAAATTACTGTGGGTATGATGGCAACATAAGAAGAACTATTTATTTCCCATTTCAAATGTGTTGCTTTGGGGTAAAAGTTTTCATTTTCAAAGTAAGATTTATCTCTTGAGTGGTTAGCATCCACAGAATTAACAAAAAAGAAACAGAACTATAGATACTAATTATTTAGATACAAGGTATACTTTTCAAACTTTTTTTCAAAAACAGCCTTTGTGACATGGAGATATCAAAACAACTAGAATATAGGCAACCTATTTATTTAAAATTTCCCCTCATTTCCTTGAATGTTCAAAATAGCACTGCAAATTTCTAACACAAAGTGAATCAGTTTTACCAGGTGTACCAGTTAATAATGCGGACTTTGTAATCAAAGAAAACACGATAATTTCAAGAGAAACATCAAAAGTGTTTTATTCAAAGTAATGTCCATCACTAGCTACACATTTCCCCCATCTTTCAGGTAATTTGTGGATACTGTCCCAATAGAACTTTTCTTGTTTTGATGCAAACCATTCAGAGACCCAATTTTCCACTTCTTTGTACGATTTGAAGTGCTGCTCAGAAAGTGCGTGTGCCATCGATCGGAACAAGTGGTAATCTGAAGGAGCAAGGTCTGGTGAATACGGCGGGTGGGTTAATATTTCCCAGGCAAGATCTTTTAACAAGTCTAACTGGTTTTGAAGTGTGTGATGGTG